CATGATCTAAAACAGAGTTCCCCAACTTTTTCAGCTTGGTGGACAGGCAGTGGGAGGAGGAAAGAGGGTGGCTTTTCATGTGTGGCAGGCAAACACACATGCAGCTCCGTTTGACTGTGGAGATGCTGCAACATTTGTAAGTGTGAGGACCAGGTGTCAGTTACTTTTTTCAGTGTTGTTGTAACTTCAAACAGTTGGTAAATGGTTGTAAATCACCTGAACTGATATTTGTGTCAGCATCATCTTCATTTTAGCAATTTCCATTAGCATAAACATGCAAGTGCACCCAGCTGCATGCATGTACATACACAAGATCAACATTTTTTAATGGTTCCTACCTTCAACATGATATTCTTGAGTCTGTTTAACTCCACAATAATTTGGAATTGTTGTCATGGTTACGTAGAGATGTTGTCCCACACTGACTTCAAAGCAATTAAATTGTATTTTCACCTGTTTGCAAGAAAAGAATCTTCAGTTTAGACACTACTTCACAAAATAAGAGCACAAGGAAACAGGCATTCTGCTAAGATTATTTTTCAAATGTATTAATATTATGTGTCATTTTTATTGTATTCTCCTACCCTGAATAATTCTGGCAGAAAGAGAAATGTTCTGACAGTGAGAACAATTAACCAGTGGAATGGCTTGCCTCCAGAAATTGTGGGTGTTCCTTCACTGGAGGTTTTAAAGAGATTGGACAACCATTTGTCTGAAATGGTATAGGCCCGTGATGGCGAACCTATGGCACACGTTCCACAGGTGGCACACAGAGCCATTTGTGCCAGCACGCGAGCCGCAGGGAAATTTACCTCACTGCGCATGTGCGCGCCTCACAGCTGATTTTCAGCTTCCCAAAGGCGTGTGGAAAGCCTTTGCAGGGCGAAAAATAAGCCTGTTTTGTCACTTCCTGTATTTCCAGAAATACTGAAAGTGACTAAATGGGCCCATTTTTTCGGCCTGCAAAGGCTGCAGAAGTCTTCCTCAAGCCTCTGGGGGGCTGAAAAAGGCCTCAGACAGGCAGAAAATCGGCTGGGAGGTGCAGTGCAGTTAAGGGGGCGGCAGGGGGGATTGTGCGCACCTGCGCAGGGGGCATGGGTGTGCGTGCGTGCATTTCCTTCTGGGTGCTGGCACGCAAGCGCACGCGTGCAAGCGCATGCAGAATTTTTGGCACAGAAGCCCAAAAACTTTAGCCACCACTGGTATAGAGTTTCCTGCCTGAGCAAGGGGGTTGGAATAGAAGATTTCTAAGGACCCTTTCAATTGTGTTATTCTGTATTTATTAATTTCCTAGATTTCCCTTAATTATGTTCTAGGTTTCCAAATGCTATCCTGTTTCAAGAAATGCATTGATAAAATTCCAAATTTAATTCATCACTCAGAGTTTTGACAATTGGGACTATACAGCAATCTACTTGAAATTGTAGGAGCTCTGCCCTACTGTTAGAACTTGCCCATCCACTGGAGATCCAGAAAGCAACTCTAGCCCCTTCATTAAAGCAAAAATGACTGGGCTCTGGACCCAAATTGTATTTTATATTAAACTCATAGATTTGGATTATGATACAATAGTATTGATTCTAATATAGAAATTTATTATTGTTAAGGTCAGAAATGTTGACATGTGGAGGCATATCCTTTGTTTTCTTCATTCTATTTTATTAAAAGAAAAGTTAAAATACAAAAAAAAAAACCAAAAAAAAGACAAAAAAAAACAAAAGCAAACATAAAAAGGCATATCCTTATAGCTTCTATAACTTAAGACAGGACTCTCTTCTACAGCCCACATACACACCATAATTAATAGAGGAGGATTTCATTCAAAGTAAAACATCTAAAAGATTTTGTTGCATTGCAATATTGGCTCAGATTTAGCTTTCTTTGCAGGAAGCTGGCCAAAAATAAACACCATTGGCCTTGGAACTGGGGTTTTATTTCTTATTCCCCCATGGATCAAATACTATATCCAATCAATTCAACTGGACTCAGATGAGCATATGGATAGAGATGTATATACCAGTGGTGGGATTCAAATATTTTTACTACCGGTTCTGTGGATGTGGCTTGGTGGGCATGGCAAGGGAAGGATACTGTAAAATCTCCAGTCAAAGGTGGCATTTGTTGGTTCTCTGAACTACTCAAAATTTCTGCTACTGGTTCTCCAGAACTGGTCAGAACCCACTGAATACCACCTCTGGTATATACCAATAGTATCTACTTTGAGGAAATGTTCAAACCTTTACCCATGAATCAATATAAAACTCAAAGTATTTTTATGAGGTAAAAGCTTTTCTGGAAAATCCCCAGATGCCCTTTCTGTAGTATTCTATGTTCCCTAATCATAATATCTACACATTCGCTGCTTTTTCAAAAAAGAAGAAGACTGTAAAAGTATATTGCCAAACCAGATTTCAGGAATTGTCAGATTAGTTGGGAGTTCTTCTCTTTTGAAGCAAGGGAGAGGTACACAACATTTTCTGTGAAAATGTGAAGTGAGCATGAGGCATGTAACTAAGCTTATGGGGAATAATTGTTTGATTTATGTTGTCATAAATCATTTTTTTAAATAAATCCATATGGGAGCAATGGCATGCAGTATTCTTAGCCCACACATAGTCATCATACTAATTTTTATAGCACAAGGTAGACGTAAACCTAACACTCTTGGAGACAGACAGTAATCAGTCAGTGAATGTGGAAACAATTTGAACCAATTCTTGTTCCTTTTGTCCTAGTGTGGGGGATCCTGCTATTTAAATAGTTTAAATACCTTCATTCTCACTTTGGCCAGACAACCATGTGGCTGGTATAATATTGTGGAAAATAAACTTAAATGCCAGAACTGCGTAGAATGAATAGATAACTTCTAATCCAAAAATAACTTCCAGAGCCAACATTGGAGATTGGAAGCTATGATGATGACAAAATAATGTCACACACATGCCATGATCCCATTACACAATGATATATGAGTTACTGGCATAGTGGCAGTGGTGGCTAGGAGGGCCTTTGCACGGCTTCATATTGTGTAACATTTGTACCCTTTACTGAATCGCTATAGGCTCTACTCCCAGACACCCATGCTCTGGTTACTTCCAGAGTAGATTACTACTAATGCATCTTTCATGGGGTTCCCTTCAAGAGTATCTGAGAGTTTCAACTGATGCAGAATTACAACTGCATGGATAGTTGTATGTCTGTTCTGTGAGTTGAACTGGTGCTCTTTACTTCTGAATCAATGGTGGTGTGCTATCGGTTCTCCAGAAATGATAGTTACAAAAAGCCGACAATCAGCTGAGAGGAGGGGGGGAAAGCTGACGATCAGCTGAGAGGAGGGAAAAAATCTGACGATCAGCTGAGAGGAGGGAAAAAAAGCTGACAATCAGCTGAGAGGAGGGAAAAAAGCTGACAATCAGCTGAGAGGAGGGGGAAAAGCTGACGATCAGCTGAGAGGAGGGGGGAAAGCTGGCAATCAGCTGAGAGGAGGGAAAAAAGCTGACAAATAGCTGAGAGGAGGGGAAAAAGCTGACAAGCAGCTGAGAGGAGGAGGGAAAGCTGACAATCAGCTGAGAGGAGGGAAAAAAGCCGACAATCAGCTGAGAGGAAGGGAAAAAAGCCGACAATCAGCTGAGAGGAGGGGGGAAGCTGGCAATCAGCTGAGAGGAGGGGAAAAAGCCGACAATCAGCTGAGAGG